CGCGGGCCAGGCGCCCAGCGCCGCGGCAGTCCAGGTGGTGGAAGACTTCCTGCAGGTACTGGTCCAGGCCGGTGGCCAGCACCACGATCTCGTTCTCCACGCCGCGGTCCAGCCCGTAGTGGTGCGCCAGGGCACTCAGCAGCCACTGGGTACGCCGCGCCGGCCGCCGGTACGGGTCGCTCGCCTCGCCCTCCGCGCAGGCATCGGCGCCCTGCCCGCCTGGGTCCATCGCAGCGCTGCGCGTAGCTCCTGGGACTCCGCCGCCGCTCCCAGGGGCGGCCCGAGTCTCGGGAGGAGCAGCATCCGGACGTGTCCAGCGGCCCTGGCCACACAGGGCGTCAGTGTTTACCCCGTCACAGGGGTGGGGTAGGGGCCTCGAGATGCCGCGACGCCGCCCCTGCCGGTCCCCTCCAGGGCATCGCTCCCAAGGCGACCTGGCATTGGCCCTTTCCCTCCCGCTTTGGGGCCGGCCTCTCTCAGCTCCTCGGTCCAGTCCGCTCGCCTGGAGGGGAGTGTTTGCCAGAGAGGCCAGCAAGGGGTGGGAGCGGGACAGGAAACGCGGGAGGGAGTAGCATAGTCGGACTGTCCCCAGGTCTCTGCGTCACTCCATGCCTGTCCCCAGAAAACCTTGGCGGGCGTCCTACCAGCGTGCTCTGGCAGCCTCTTGCTGGTAGATGCAGAAAGATCGTCTTTCCCGCCGCAACTCAACACCTGCTTCCCAAACCTACCTGTGCTCCACCAGGGACAGTGCAGGGAGCCTGCGTGGTAAACAGAGAGGGCTTGGAGAGGTGGGGACTAGGACAGGGACCCCTGGGACTGATAAGCTGGTCTGAGCCGGACCTTCTCCTCTCCAAGTGCACGTAAGCTCTTTGTGTTGGGGGATCGGGAAATGACCCTGGGAAAATGGTGACCTCTTGGCCCCCCATCTTTGTGCCTGGAGACAGTGAGTTGGCTGTGGGACCTGAGCTCAGTCTCTGAGCTGGGGTTAGGTTAATAGTTGCTCGGCTTGGCCAGCGTTTTCTCTGGTTCCTTCTAACGCTTTTTGGATGAAAGAAAAATCTGCAACTCAGGTGAGTGCTTGACTGCGCCCCTGTCTTACACAGGAGATGCAGTTTCACACACCTGTTACCTGCCCTGGACATGGTATTTACAGACTCCTTCAAGCAAGGACAGGCCATCCCACTGCCCGTGCCTATTAGGTGGGCAGAATCTTGCCCTGTGTAAAACTTCACTTTTATGTGGCCCAGCGTCTTGCACCCGGGCCCAGTGGCAAACGGTCTAGGTGGCAGTCCTGTTCTGGTGTCCTGGGACCACCCTGGGCCCGGTGCTGGGGTGGGGAGGAGAGGAGACACTGCTGGGTGCGCCTGCCTCTGTGTCTCTCTCTCATGGAAGAAATAAATAAACCTTTTTTAAAAAGTTCAAACCTGCCATTTTAAAAGCAGCATCTCCTCTGCCAGTGCCCTAGAATCAGCAGTGTCCACCTAGCAGCTTCCTAAGAGGCCCTGGAGATTTTTGACCAAGGGACACTTCAGCTGCAAAGGAGCGAGATGCTCCTCCCCATCCACTTTGGACATATTTTTCTAAGGTTTTTTTTTTTTTGTATTATAAAAATAATGGCAGTTTGGGAACCAGCAGTTAGCGTAATGGCTATGTCACTGGACTCCCACGTAGTTGACTGCGGACCCAGTGGCTTAAAACTCACACTGGGCGCGTGTGTGTGTGTGCCCAAGATCCTGAGAGAAGAATGGAGGAGAAGGGATTGTGGCATGACCATCCCCTCTGGGGGCGATTTCTCGCTTCCTGTCTCTATGTCTCTCTCTGTCTGTCTGGCGAGCACACGCGCCCTGTAGCAAAAACCTCTCCCCCCCCCAAAAAAAAATAATAATGGCAGTTTGACAATAAGTTTTACATCTATTCCACTTCTTGATACTCTCCTTAGAATACACCAGTGCCCAGGACATTCTCTGTGTCTTTTTTTGAAAGGGGAGACTGGGGTCATTGTACCCATCAGCCAAGACCACACAGGAGCACATCTAGTGAGTGCAGCCTAGCATGTGCGTGTGCTCACATGACGAGAGCAGGCAGGGCTCCACAGCTCATTGCTTGCCCTCGCACGAGGATGCAGGGAAAACTCACTGCATTTGGCGGTTTTTCTGGGGATGAGAGACCGTTAGTGTTCACTGCAATGGTTCCCTATGCGACCAGACAAAGTTTTTGTGTGTTTTTTTTTTTCTTTCTTTTTGTAGGGAGAACACATTCTATTTATTATATACCGTAAACCTCACCCACTTAAGGTGTACACAGTAGTAGTTTTTGGTATACTGTATTTATAGAGATGCACTCACATAACCATCACCACAATCTAATATTTGAACGTTTTAATCCACCCCCCCAAAGTAAACCCTGGTTCTAGTTAGCCATCCCCTTCATCTCCCACCCCTCCGCACTAGGCAAGCATTACTTTGTGTCTCTGTGGACTGTGTATTCTGGGCATTCCATATGAACAGATTCTCACAACGGGTGACCTTTGGAAGTGACCTCATTTGAAAACATTAACATGGTGTTCTCACGGTTTATCCATTAGTAGCATGTATAGATGTTCCACTCCTGTCTAGAACTGCATAAATTCCATGGCATGGACAGACCACCGTGCCTGTCCACTCATCGGTTGATGGGCACTTAGCTGCTTCCATTCTGGGTTGCTGTGAGTGATGCTGCTGTGAGCCATTGTGTGCAGTTTTGGGGTGTTGGACATGTTATGCCAAGGAGTGGGGTGGCTGGATCCTGTGGTCCAACTCTGAGGAACGGTCAAACCATCTTCCAGAGAGGCAGCCCTCTTCCCTCCCACAGGCAGGTGCTTCAGGTGCCTCTTGTTCAGCGTAGGCGACAGCATTCAGTCCCAAGTCCCCTCTGCCCACCCCCCATTTTCCATCTCAGTGCGTAGGGCCTCCAGCCTTACTCAGCAGACCCTGTCACTCTGAGCCTCTGTGTCCTCCACGTCCGATCACAGGCCGTGCTTAGCTCCACCTTTGGAGCACATTCTGCCCACCCCACTGCCCCACAGGTGTCCTCCTGGGTCCTTGCAGCATTCTCCCAGGAGCTGCCTGTAAGCTGCTGCAGCCTGCCCTGCACAGCCAGGGCTCCTGCCTGCACACAGGTGTGACTGCACCTGCCTCTCCCGGGTCTCCTCTGACTACCCCTCACAGTGACTGCGGGCCCAGCTCATGCTGTGGTGCCGCCCTGCACCACCTGCAGCCACCTCCCCATCCCCACCAACTTCCTCACTGCCCTGACTCGTTCCCACCTCAGGGCCTTTGTATGTGCTCCCCCAGATGGCACCTCACCCTCACCTCCTTCAAGCCTGGGGCTCCAATCTCACTTCCATGACACACTCCGGTGCCCACTACTTGCCTGTGGTTTGTCCAGCAAATCGCCAGCCATGAGGGCAGGATGAGGTCATTCTGCTCCCCCAGAGCAGGGTCTGGCATGCAAGAGGGTCTTCAGCTCACCACCCAGCTGCTTCTTGCAGTTGCCACTGCTGCAGTGTGTGCTGCCCTCCATGCGCTTTCTCTGCCTGTAGTTGGTAGGTGTAGGTTTTGGCACTTTTTTTTTTAAGAGATTTTTGCTATAGGGCACATGTGCTCGCCAGAAAGACAGAGACAGAGACAGAAAATGAGAAATCACTCCCCAGAGGGGATGGCCATGCTGCAATCCCTTCTCCTCCATTCAGGATCTTGGACATGCACGTACACGTGCCCAGCATGAGTTTAAGTCACCAGGTCTGGGACTTGACCTGCTATCAACTACATGGGAGTCCAGCGACATAGCAATTATGCCAACTGCTGGTCCCTTGGCACATGTTTTTAAAGTAGCCAATGTGCCACATTTCCATTCCTGTGTGGGTCTCCAGGAGTTCTATGTGTCACAAGGCCAGGGGCCTGAGTCCTCGGTGACCAGTCTGGGGTCCAGTACAGAGCAGTCACTCACAGAACAGGTCTGTACAAACATGCCTTTATGGAAGTGCACTCACGCCGTCAGAAGGAGACCTGGGCCTGGCCTGGTGCACTTGTGGCCGTGTGTTGGACAGCAGTGCTGACACTGGGCACTGCATGGTGACCTTTGCTGGAGTTCCAGCACATCAGCCTGATATAGGCTGTACATGTGTGCAAGTGCCCAGATCTGACAGGCTGGTGGACAGGAGGAAGCAAACCAGGCCTGGTGGAGGGTGCTTCTCTCTCGTTCCTCCACTCTCATGAACATGTATGTGGGCTCTATCATGAATAAAGAAAAAAATTAAAATATTTGTTAAAGGAAAAATTACATCTAGCAGCATTGGCGAGATTTGATCATCTTTTGAGCCTCCATGTATACCCTGGGAGCTCCTGGGCCAGAAGCCCCACAGCCTAGGGGTTTGATGTGTATATTTAAAATAGTACTTGGGGCCAGCAGGTGGCATGGAGGTTAAGGTAACTGGATCCCATATGGTTGGTTGTGTGGTTCAAGTCCCAGACCCAGAAGCTTGAAAAACATACTGAGCACATGCACGTGCATGTGTGCCCAAAATCACAAGAGGAGGATGGAGGAGAAGGGATTTTGATATGACCATTGTTCTGGGGGTGGTGGTGGTGGTGGTGGTGATTTCTCCCTTTCTGTATCTCTGTCTCTTTCTAGCAAGCATGTGCATCCTATAGCAAAATAAATACATATCTATAAATAAAATTAATTAATTGATAAAATAAAACAGGACTTTCGGGCCCACCTGTGGCCTAGCGGTTGAGGTAGATCGATCCCACATCACCAACTGCAGTTCAAGTCTGCAGACTGATTGGAAAACATGCAGGTATGTGTAGATGTGTGCCCAAACACGATAGAGAAATGGAGAAGGGAGTGAAGTGTGACCACACTCTATTAGGGGTACTTTTTTCTCTCTCTGTCTACGCGTGGTGACCACATCAGCTTTCTGACAAAAACAAAGAAAGAGCAAATGAATGAGCAGGACTTTGGGACTCAGAGCCGAATTTTCAAGTCCTTTCTTTGCAGATGAGCCTGTTTTATTTTATTAGTACTGAGGACTGGTGGCCAGCAAAGTCTTACCCTACACACTGCAGTTGGTCACTGCTGTCAGTGAAGGAATCCCTTAAGCAGGAACTTTCCTGGGCCAGTCAACAGTGGAAAGAAAGCTTAACTGTCTGGGTCTGAAGCCCCGCCCTGCAGTCATTGCTTTGACCCTACCCCTGGCAACTCAAGGACGTGAGGGCTCACAGTGGTGCCTGTCAGGCCTGTCTGTCTGCAGGACAGTGTTACCAGGCACCGCTAAAATAATTCTGGTTGGGTCCACAAGGTTTTTGTTTAAGGTTCAAAGAGTGTGAACTCAGAACTCCCTTTGCACTCTTCTGTATGAGCTGGGGGAGGGGCACGTGCTGTGTGTTGGGAGAGTCTAGGCCCCCGCAGAGAAATTGTTCTCTGAAGTCAGTTCAGGATTGTTTCAAGCATTTCAAATAGTGTCCAAAGTGTCTATA